CGTGTATATGATACAACCTGAGGGTTTTGAACATCCAAGTAATGCTGGGAAGGTATGCAAGCTTAAAAGATCAATTTATGGTCTAAAGCAAGCATCTCGGAGTTGGAATCTTCGTTTTGATGCTGCAATCAAAGAGTTTGGTTTCAATCAAAACGAAGAGGAACCTTGTGTTTACAAGAAATTGAGTGGGAGTGCAATCACTTTCCTAGTCCTATATGTAGATGACATACTTCTCATTGGGAATGATGTTCCAATGCTTTCGTCTGTAAAGGCTTGGCTTGGAAAGTGTTTCTCAATGAAAGACTTGGGTGATGCATCCTATGTGTTAGGGATCAAGATCTATAGAGATAGATCTAGAAAACTAATAGGACTAAGTCAAAGTAACTACATTGACAAGGTTCTGCATAGGTTCAATATGCAAGATTCCAAGAGAGGATTCTTGCCTATGTCACATGGCACATATCTCAGCAAGACTCAGTGTCCACAAACACAAGATGAGCGAGATCGGATGAATAGAGTCCCTTATGCTTCTGCTATAGGTTCTATCATGTATGCTATGTTATGTACTCGCCCTGATATAGCTTGCGCTCTAAGCATGACTAGTAGATACCACTCAGATCCAGGTGATAGTCACTGGATAGCAGTCAAGAATATTCTAAAGTACTTGAGAAGAACTAAGGATGTATTCTTGGTCTATGGTGGTGAAGATCAGCTCATTGTAAAAGGTTACACAGATGCTGGGTTCCAATCCGATAAGGATGATTTTAGATCGCAGTCAGGATTTGTGTTTTGCCTCAATGGCGGAGCAGTGAGCTGGAAGAGTTCTAAACAAGACACGGTGGCTGATTCTACAACAGAAGCTGAGTACATTGCTGCGTCAGAAGCAGCAAAAGAAGCGGTATGGATAAGAAAATTCATCATTGAGCTCGGTGTGGTTCCTAGCATTGTTGGACCAATGGACTTGTATTGTGATAACAATGGAGCCATTGCACAAGCCAAGGAACCTAGATCGCACCAGAAATCAAAGCATGTACTCAGACGCTATCATCTCATTCGAGAAATAGTCAATAGAGGTGACGTCAAGATATGCAAAGTACCGACAGATTCAAATGTGGCTGACCCGCTCACCAAGCCACTACCACAAGCAAAGCATGAACGTCATACTAGTGCATTAGGCATTCGTTTTGTTCACGATTGGTCCTAGTGCAAGTGGGAGACTGTTGGAAATATGCCCTAGGACAATCATAGTTTATGATTTATCAATAAATATTTAATGCTCATTAATTAATAAAGTTGCAAACTCATTTTATGTTAATTATTATTGTGAGTTTTCTTTATTAATATTTAGTCCCTGAATATTCTGTTTAGTAGCTAATTAAGTATGTGACTTAATTGTGGAATGCTACACTTTAAAATAAACATAATATTCTAATTGTCCCTGGTCTAATATTATTAATTTGGGACATTAATAATTAATAGACCAGTATGTGGATTAACTGATGGCTATATTCCACTAGTCATGGGTATAGAGATATCAAGTTAATAACATAGATGCTTGTTAGGGAACAAGTTCATTGGACAGACCCAACTTGGGGACACTGCTAGGTTATATGTCATCAGTGTTGTCCTCAATAATGATGAGGTGCTATATTCTTATACTTGAGATAATCATGGTTACTAGCATGAGAATTAATATGTATTAACACCATTAAATGTTATCTTTAACTGGATAATTATAAAGGTGGTGATTGTACATATTATGAACCATGTAGTAGTATGTGAATTATCAAGATAGTTTTTGTCACTCTTGTACATCGAGAGAAAGATATCTATTGGGCCCCTTGACAAGTAAGATTAATTAGCATGGCCATGCTCAAATGAGGTGTCATTTGATCAAGATTAATCTTACTTGGTAATCAAGAAATATTAATTGAGAATAACAAGGATGACACGACCTAACCTTGTCTCAATTAAGATATCGTTTGACAAAAGAGAATTATTAGCACAAATTAATCATTAAAAGGTTATGTCAGATTTAATTGACATTTATATATTTTGGATAGTCATAATGCCTTGCTAGAGACCGCTTATGATTTGTGAGGCTCGAATTAATTTCTAGCCCACTGCCAATAATATATAAACCTACAGGGTCACACACCTAAGTGATTTGGATCATTAATGTTTGTTAATAACATTAAAATAGCTTGATTAGCCCAATTCGAAAGAGGGTTTCGAATGGTATTGGGCTAGGGCCTCTTTAAGGGTTTTATTAGCCATAAAACTCCTTATTTCCACCTCTTATAAATAGGGCTAAGGAGACCCACGAATTTTAAGAGTTAAAATTCACTTCTCAAACCTAGAGTAGAGAGGAAGAAAGAAGAGAACGCTAGCACGTTCCCTGCGGCCGATCCAGTCACGTGCGTGTGGATACCGGTAGAGCTCGGGATCGTTTTCTCGGACTGTCTGACATCCCTGATTAAGATTGCTATGTAAGTCCCTCTTAAATTCTTGTAATTTCGTTTATAATAAGAACCTCAGATCCGTTCATTTACTTTTGGGTAGAAAAATTTTTGTTTATTCCGCTGCGTTTTTCTGCCCGAAACCCAACAAGTATGTAGTGCGTAGTATAACATTTTATAACAAATAATTGTTCGACACATTTAAAAAAATGATTTTGGCACTTCAATCTAATAATTTAGTCATCATGACGGAGTATTAAAAATGAGTCGCTATACCGTGGTACCGACGCACCTTCCGCATCATACACCCAACTCCAAAACGACAGCGTTTACATTTAATTAAAAAACACGCGCACGAAATCCAACAGCCCCACTCTCCCACCTTTTCCCTCCAGCGGTTATTCTCTCAGGTGTTAATTTCGAAAATAAAAAAACTCTCCATCTCCCGATGTTTCATTTGCGCCTTTCAAAAAAAAATACAGTTTCTTCTCTCTACAGAGCTCTTGCAAAATCTCTACGAAGCAAGTTCTCAAAAACTCATCGCTGACTTCCACCTCTCCACTTCCACCTCTCCTTGAAGGAAAACAAGAGATTAAGTGAGGGATTAACACCATCGACGGCAGGTTACTTCGGTATCTGTGTACAGATTGAAGATGGTTAGGTCTAGAAGCAAATCTGTTGTCAGGTATCAACTATAACCAAAAATCGAACTATTAAACAATGCGATTGCTATTCTACTTTAAATATCAAAATGCATGTAACATTGAAGTTGTGAATAAAGCAATGTTCGTTTCATAATCTGCAACTGCTCATGTTTCGAAATTCAGATGAAATATTTTATCTGCTTTGATTTATATAATATAGTGTTGCATCGGTCAATATGTTTGTTATGCCTCTTATTATGTCACTGAATTTTTTTTTGTAATATAGTGTCACATTTCACTGAAAATAATAACAGATTAACTTTGCTTAAAATTATGTAACTTGTTTATAATAATACCTAAATCCTCTGCCTTGTTTTGTGACTGTAACTAAGTCCAAATTTCATTGTTCATCCGATTGTCCATGATGTAACTTCACCTCACTGTTATGTAAATTGTGCGTGACAGTATGTAACTCATGTGCTCCAAATTTCATTGTTCATCTGATTGTCCATGATGTAACTTCACCTCACTGTTATGTAAATTGTGGGTGACAGTATGTAACTCATGTGCTCTAAATTTCATTGTTCATCTGATTGTCCATGATGTAACTTCACCTCACTGTTATGTAAATTGTGAGTGACAGTATGTAACTCATGTGCTCCAAATTTCATTGTTCATCCGATTGTCCATGATGTAACTTCACCTCAGTGTTATGTAAATTGTGCGTGACAGTATGTAACTCATGTGCTCCAAATTTCATTGTTCATCTGATTGTCCATGATGTAACTTCACCTCACTGTTATGTAAATTATGGGTGACAGTATGTAACTCATGTGCTCCAAATTTCATTGTTCATCTGATTGTCCATGATGTAACTTCATTTCACTGTTATGTAAATTGTTTGTGACAGTATGTAACTCATGTGATTTAATGTCATATTTGTATCATATAAGGAATACAAGAAGTGCTAGAGCTTCTGAAAATGAAACTCATGAAACAGAACATCAGAATGAAGCTGCTAGGATAGTGAACACAGAAGAACCAATTTTAAGACTAGAATATCATCAGCCAACAACGAGCAAAAAAAGAAAAGCAGCACCAGAAAAGAAGAAAGAAGAATCTGAAGAATCAGACAATGAATGTGAAGAAGTAGAGAGAGGCAACAGGCAGCCTTCTGTAAACCTCAGAACAAGAGTAGGACCAGCTCCTTTCATAAAGTTGATTAAACTGTTAGATGACAACAAAAAAACAGCAATTGAAAGGATTGGGTTCGGTAGATTACTGCATTTAAACTTTGAAAGATTCTATGGAGATTTGGTTGAGTTTCTGTTGAAGAACTTTAGACCAATTTCAGGACAGCTACAACTTGCCAACGGTGAGCTGCTAGATATTGGAGATGAAGATGTCAAAGCTGTATTTGGTCTGCCAAAAGGAAAGATTGAAGTTCAAGAAGCGAATGCGAAGAATGAAACTGAAGAGTATACCCAACTGCTGCAAGAATGGAGGGAAGAATGGGGGATTGATAAAGGAAGCCCTCATACATCAAAAATGATTGAAAAAATAGTTGCAGATACTGATTCTGGAGACCGATTCATCAAAAACTTTGTGGTCTTTACAGTCTCTTGCCTCATCAGAGGAAACCAGAGTGTTAGAAGCAATTTTAAAATATTGCTATCTTTGGTGAATGTAGCTGACATACCAAAGATGAGCTGGTGCAACTACACAAGAAGATCGTTGATAGATGCATGTGAGGAATGGCAAGATAATCAATCAAAGATGTTTAGTGGACCATTATTGTTTCTAATGATATGTTACTTTGACCGAGTACAATTCAAAGGCCAAATAACGCAGACTGCTTACCCAACAATTAGAATTTGGGGCAAGGAGAAAATTGACAAGAGAGTGAAAGATGAGAGAAAGGTGGGTTTTGGTCTGGGGAAGGTGACAAAGCGAATAATAATAGTGGAAGATGAAGATGAAGATGAAGAAAAAGAAGGAAAGGAAGATGAAGAAAATGAAGATGCTGAAATGTTGTCAAAGGAGGTAAATTTTAATACAACACTTTGTGATCTTAAAGACTATTTTATGTAACTTAAATCAATTGTCACATAACTATAGGATTTTGACAAGGAGTCTGTAATGTTAAAATCTTTGTTATGTAACTTAATTCAATACCAATGTGTCTTATGTATTATTAAACAACTAATATTATAATATTTATAGGATTGTGTGAAGGAGATTATAGCTGTGGCACAAAAGTTTAGTGATGCTTTTGTTGAATTTTCAAAGTTGCCATCGACAATTTCAAAAAGATTCCCAAACTCAGATATCTTGAAAAAGATATACATGACGACTGCTGATTACTTCATCAAGCAAGCTAATGGCAAAGAGCAGGCCAATGAGAATCAGAGATTGTTTGAGAAGTGCACATTGGAAGAAGATGATGATTTCTTCAATGAACCTGGTGTAATGGAAGCACTTATAAACCTTGAGAAAGCTGCACTACTGAAATTCTCAATGCCTTCATTTGATTTGGGCATTGAGTTTACCATGTCTCAACCTGAAGCAAATGCCAATCCAAAGAATCAGAAGCAGACTGATGAACAGACCGCAGAGATCGCAAGAGCAGTAGAAGATGAAAACAATGAAGACGATGTCACTGCAGGAGTAAATGAAGGAGAGAAAATCAATACTCCTGAAGTGAATCGAAATGATGCTGATGAAGAAATGAATATAGAGGTTGGGGTGCCTGGAGATTACAAGACTGTTGCTGATGGTGAAGCAAAGAATGAAGCTGATAACAATCAATGGTAAGTGTTATTTGTTTCTTATGTAATTCATTAATATTTTTAACTAATCTAATCAACTTAACAATATGTTGTTTTTTCAAAGTAATGATGACGTGAAGGCATATAGAAGAAAGAAGCTGAAAAAGTTAGGTGAAGAATGTGTGAATTACAGATCCCCATTTCTGAAGAATAATAGAAGATTGTGTAAGGATCTTAACAGGGAAGAAAAAATAGTACTTGACTATGCCTTTTCAAAAGAAGTTCTGAAGTAAGAAAGTCTGATATTATATAATTTATTATTTCAATATAAATATTATTTCGTCATTATATTAATAGTTTATATTGGTTTGAAAAATATTATTCTATTAGTGATTGTGTCTACCACGATGACGGAGGTGTGTTTATAACTCATGAGGAGTTGCAAACCCTTGAAGATCAAAGTGTAGACAACTCTATTATAGACGCATGGGCAAGAATTTTGAATGACAGAGAAAAGTCAAACAATACTACAAAGCGTGCATTCATAGCTTCAACCATAGTCTATGTATGGATAGTTTTTTCTTGTAAATTTGAAAATTAAAGTAGTGAACTTCAGTTTCTATATACTGATTGAATTTAATCAATTTGAATGTTCAGGCACAGTTTAATTATACCTCTGGTGACTCAATTGAAAACATGGTTGAAAGATTGGAAAAGGAAATGAATGAAGCAGGAGCAGATGTTAAGCATCTTGATATGGTAAATTTCATTAGCATTTCAAATTATATATGTGGATATATAAATATAAAAACTACAGCAAAATAAGTCACATTTGGTAATTCTTATATGTATATTGTTAAAAGTTGCAACTACATATATCAAGCTTTTTAAATTTAAGAATTAAATAATTAGAGATATGCAAAGTGTGTAACATACCATGTAACTTCAGGTGTCGAATGATGTAAGTGCTTATATGAGTTATGTACATTCTGTATTGTTTTATGTTACTGATTTCACTGTGCAAAATACACAGACGAAATACTTATGACTGACGTATACTGCAGATAATGTTTCCAATTCACAAGCATGCGCACTACTACATCTACTGCTTTTACCCAAAAATAACATTGTTGATGTGATAGACAACCGCATGCTTCCAGATGGGGTGCCTTTTGAGAATAAATATGCTGAAACTTTTAACAATATGGTAAAAACTTTTAACAACTTTTCTGGAAATAACAAATGATATATTATATTTTATTTTAATACATTAATTTAACTTCTTGTATAGGTTGTGGGGTTCAAAGTCTTCTGTGAGAAACTGAAACTTTCAGATTCACTGCCACCAACATGGGTTCCAAGAATTTTGATTATGCCATGGAGAAGTAATGACAATAATATTGACTGTGGAGTATTTGCCATACGCCATTTGGAGACATATCGTGGGCAGGGACACAGATGAGATTCTGGATTTGCACCGGCTTCTACAAAGCAAGGAATGAAATCTCAAAAAGAAACCCTGCAAAAGTTGAGACTAATGTATGCTGCTCAATTATTATTGTCCAAATTTAACACTCGAAGGGACATTGTTCTAAAAAAAGCAAAAGAGTACATTACGCTGTAAGATATCAACGTTGTGGAGCTACACAAATGATTCTGACAAAACATTTGTTGGTTTGTGGAGGGCATGATGACTTGAATTATGTCAAAACATTATTTCATTTTATGGAGTAGGTGGTGATGGTATGGACAACTTATATATTTGGTTTGTGATATTGTAATGCAAAATGCTTATGCATGTATTATGGACAACTTTTATGTTTGGTTTAAGATATTGTCCACGCAAACTGCTTATATATGAATTTTGTATGATTGAAATTCAAATGATGTAAACAACGGCTAGAACAAATGTAACTCACGTTACAGGACATTGTAACTAAAGCCAAAAAAGAATGAAACTCATGTAACATAGTAGTCAATGTGTTTCACAATAGGGAATGTGCATTGATTTGATACCAGTGATATAACTTGTGTAAAAGAACAGTAAAGAATTTGCAAATTTTGTAAAATCAAAATGAAATTAATTCACTTACTAAAACTTTATTGATAAACCAATTCAAGTGTAACACTGAAAGACTAATGTAAACAAAGGGTATATGAAATGTAAACAATATCACTGATTAATGTAAAACGAGCATACAAAGATGTAAAAATGCAAAACTCCACAGCCAGTGTTCAAGCAGATTACATTCATACTAATTAAATATTACTAAATTTGCATTTCATTCCCAACATTTGGATGCAAAAAGTATGGAGTGAAAACTTGTGGAGATCCAAACATAGGCATCAAAGAAGTCATTCCATGCACTGGATGAGCAAGATAACCATGTGGCACCATGCAATTAACAGTCTCCTGTTCACAAAAAAAAAATTGTCATAAAAAAGTAAAATAATATATAATATTTAACAAATATATAAATATACCTGTACAACTGATTGGGCAACAAGTTTTGAATTAGATGAAACTTGTTGGGATTTGGACCTGCGAGATTTGACTATTTTGCATTGTTTTTCAACAATGCTTTTCTTTCGTGTATTTCTTTGACCTTTAGGAACAGAACGTGGAGGATCCAATATGGTCCTCGATTCAGAAGCAGATTCATCTCCAGCAGTGCGGCGTTTCTGAATATCTAAGAAGTTTTTAATAGAATCATAACCTTGTTCACATACTTGCCTAGCTTCAGGAATACTAGCACTTGAAGCCAATATTGTATTGAATTTCCTAGTCATTTGCACTCTCCACACAGAATCTTCCAATATTTTCCCAAACAGAGTATCAGGTGCTTCAATATGAGAAAGACTCATATTTGGCAAAATAGCACCCTTCGTCCACCTAGACATTATATAATCTCGAGGAATACATTTCACACAATGAATGTTATATATACGCAAAATGTGTCTACAAAGAATGCCAACTTCTGAAAACATCTTACAAGTGCATGTCACCGTGTTGTCATTTGCATTAAAAGTAACGCTGTGTCTAATCAAATCTACACCGTCCAACCAAACATGATACACGCAATCATGACAATTCTGTGTTACTAATTTAAAAAAATGTGACATACCCTTCAAATATTGTTCTTGGAACAGTTTGAAGATCTCAAGGGTATACACATCTCTAGCATGAGTTAACAAACTATCTTGCAGCAGTACCATCTCAACAGTGCCTTCTGAACATCTGAAATCTTGACCATTTTCCTCTGACCTCCATTCCTCAACAACATCACCAAACATTTTGTAAAAGTCACACAATGTTGCAGTTTTTGAGAGTCTTCTAGATATGGATCTATTTGTAGATTCACTTCTTTGGGAGGATAGAATGCCACCAGAGAAATAATCCTTTGAAAATGCAGGACACCACTTTTCTTTATGACTGTAGAGCCTTTTCAACCATGTATTGTCACTGCATTCATACACTTTGTTCAACCTGAAACCAATTTTTAAAATAAAAACAATGTTACATATAAAATCAACGCAGGTTACACAAAAACAATACATAAGTTACACAAAAGAAAACATATGTTACAACACATAAATAACTTACTCAGTCCAGTAGAAATCAAACTCGGCAACAGTGTCACATCGTTTAACAACATAATCAAATAAAGGAACAAAGTTCAGCTTCTTGCGTAGAAACATGATGTGTTTCTTGGAATTTTCATCTATATGCCAAGTGCAAAGTCTGTGTCTTGTGTTAGGAAAAACAGATTTGATAGCTGCTGCCATGGAAAATGACTGGTCTGGCATGAAAGTGATGGGGTGTTTACCACCCATAGATTTGAGGAATGTTTGAAATAACCAAACAAAAGATTCCACCTTCTCATTCAACATAAAACCACAACCAAACATTATGTTTTTACAATGATGATTCATACCAACGAAAGGACCACAGATCATGTCATACTTGTTAGTCCGATAAGTTGTATCATGAATAACTACATCTCCAAACCTATCATAATCTGATTTCATATGCCCATCTCTCCAAAAAAAACAACTCAGGATACCATCATCCAAATCAAAATCAAAGAAAAAATCAGATTCCACTTCAGCCCTTTTCTTCAATATACCTATCAAAGTGTTTGAATCAGTGCCATCAAACATTTTACTCCTTTCATATTCCAAAACATTATAAGCATCACGTTTGGTGAAACCAAGAGAACTAACACCTCCAGATTGCTTTTGAAGCATTCTGTGAATATCGGAAACCTTTGTCCCACTCTCCTTCATCAACATAATAAACTCAAGATATTCACGATCAACACCTCTATGTGATTTCAGCAAATGTCTTTGACCAATGGCACAAAAAGCATGATTGTGATGAATAATATGCTTCGAAACAGTCCAGTCACCATCAACACCAATAGAAAATTGTAACTTCGCTTTACAATCAGAACGATAATCTAGCTTCGTATAAGATTTGTTTTCAGTACCCTTTTGTAGTTTCTTTCCTTCTTTCCAACAACAATAAGACTTCATACTCAAACTTACATTTCCACTCCTAAATCTCTGTTTGTATCTACGAATACCAAATCCATTTTCAAAAGCATGATCGTTGTAAAGATTATAAGCATCCTGTTCACATTTGACACTAAATCCAACAAGTGATTTATTCTCTGTTGCCTGATCAACAGTTTCCAATGCATCTGACAATTTTAAAATCGTACATATCAAAACAAACAACTGCTAAATAAGTAGTTACACACAATTTCACAAAAGCTTACATACGATTAAACAGATGTTACATGTTGTTCAAAAAGCAGTTACATAGGATTGAACTAAACTTAACAGAACAAAATTGTTACATGTTGTTCAAAAAGCAGTTACATGTTACATATGCTCATGTTACATCTGCTCATGTTACATGTTGTTCAAAAAGCAGTTACATAGGATTGAACTAAACTTAACAGAACAAAATTGTATCAAATGACAGAAATATTACCTCTGCTGAGAAGAAATAACAATTTAGAAGCACGTGAACAAGTATCTTCTTCACTAGAACCTAAAACAACAAAAAATCAACTAATATGAATACAACAATCCATATTTCAACGCCAAATAATAAAAAAGAGAACTGAAATAGAATATCATACTGCACACACAAACAAACGAAATGCATACATCTCAAAACATTAAATAATTACCAATCCATTCAACAGCAACCGATTGATCAAATTCCAAGTTATTATCACCGGTTGAATGAATGTCGATATCGTGTATATTGGACGGCAAAGGATCGCGAAATTCAGTTGAAGAATTCAGAAGAACAGAATCATTGACCGAAAATTCCATTGAACAGAGATGAGAAAAATCGCAGGAGAGTTTGTTAAACAGGGGAGAAGAGTTCGTTGAGCTGCGGAGAAGAGAAGAGTTTGTGAACCTAATTATTACTAAACTAAACGACGCTGTTTGGGATCGGCACACCATGCGCAAGGTGGGCCGATCCCACGGTATAATTTGCGATTAAAAATGGTTAATGGGATTTGTCTATAATCCTAAGGACTAATTACACAGTTCAAAACTTCAAATAGAAACTTTTGTTAAAAAACTAAGGGGCAATATGGTCTAAATGAGGTTACGTTTAGCAATTATGGGGGTGCGCCTAGCAACCCCCAAATGAAATTACGTTTGGTATTTCCCTTGAGTAAATTAGTGGCCCACTGGTCCGCACTCCGCAACCAAGGATGTTTTTATTTAGGGCAGGGGTAATTCTAAATACACCCTCCTTAGACCCAAATAAAAGACACGGATGGATAAGTTCATATTCTATCCTTATTGCCCTCGTTTGGTTTTCAGCGGTTTGATACCAAATCGCTGCTAAATGCAGCGTTTGCAAGTATAAAACAATTGGCGGTTTGCTGAAAACGCTATTAACCAAACGAGTCCATTGTGTGATAGAGTTGGGATTTGACACCAATTTAGCGTCTTCTATATCCGGGTGGCTTTGATCCAAATTTAATGTATTACAACTAATCATACATTTATACTCTAAATCAAAATGACATATTCTCAGTGAGAAAATATGTGCCTTACCGTTAAGTGAACTTGCATTATATTTGTCTAGATATCTGAATGCTAAAAACACTAAAAAACTTTTATTTTATTCAACCCCTAAATTTGTTATCAGATAGCAACACATGTATGACTCATCACAATACATGACATTTTGATGTATCTTTTGAACTATATGGAGACAATGTGCATAAGTGCATAACCTACATATCAAGAAGGTTCACACAATAAATCCAAAGTATATGACATTTTAGTTTGATCATTTTTCATTATGGCCTATAAAAAGTTACAGAATTACATAATGAATTGAATATTTTCAATTAGTCTTTTATTGTTGTTTTCAAATGGTTTGTGTCCTTCCTAAAAAATGGTTTGTGTCCGCTTCATTCGAAACGCGCATATTTGAATATTATTAAATTTGCGTACTCCAATTCTATAATAATTGCAAAGTCATCAATCACATCTTAACTTGTATTTATTGTATAAATATAATGAACTTTTATCGTATATGTGATTTCAGAACCATGAACATATATTTATTTTAAAATAGAATTAACGGTGAGAGTAAAAAGTTTGGTATATTTAGTGTCCGCTTGGTGATCAACCCCTGTTTTACTTATGAATTTATCTCATTAGTTTAAATGATTATGATGTCCTCAATGATTGATAGTGATACCAGAATATCATAAGTGGTGTGTATTATTGTAGAGAAGTATTATTATAGATAATATGATGTGTTATAAGAGTTATTCTTAAAAACTTTCTTAATTAGATAAATAAAATATTTTTTGAATACGGAGTATATTTTTTCATAATTTAAAATATGTATATATCCAATCATTCATTCATGCCAAAATTCAATTTGTAGTGTAATTTACAAGACGAAACTCATTATAATAATGCTTTGGGATCACATTTTTAGGGTAAAATCCTTAGGACATGTGTACTTCACCGTTTATTATACTGTTAGGCAAGTAATACGTGTGAAGTAAACAAGTTGGGCGGGTAACTTTACGTTTAATAAGAGGGTGTGCCGTTTATATGTCTGCTTAATAAACTTCCGTTGTTCCGCACCCCCCATGTTAACCTAATTATCTCTTCCATACTTTTTTTGCAGACACCTTGTCATTCTTCTTCCTCCGGCCAAAGCAACACCATCGTCCATCGCAGGTATCGTTCATCACAGAAAATAGAAATCAATTTTGAACCCATCCAAAAAATCTGCTCTCCATTAAGGAAGAACACAGATTCGTGTTTTTTCAAAACCCACTAAAAACAAATTAATGATGAATTAGAAAGTAGAGTTAATGATTTTGAAAATTATTTATTCTTTGCTCCTGAACTCCTTAATCGCGGCTTTGCAATAAAAATTGACAGAGAATTCCTTCAAGGATGAAAAAGCTAAGGGCGACGGCAGCTTCTGGGTTACAGAGTATTAGTTAAGTTGAAGGTTATTTTTGACCTAATAATATATATCTTAATCCTCTTGTAAACGTATATTTGTGTTACTGAACAAAATATTATATTGAAGTAAACACGTGTTTATTAAACACTTCTTATAAATAATGGCTTACTAACACAATGTCTAATAGGCACCACTTATTACACTTTGAAGTAAACATGTCCTTAGTGATATGACTACTTCAGTGATATGGCAGACTGGCCAATGTATTACTCCCTCCGTCCCTAATAACTTTGCCAAGTTTGACCGGCACGGGGATTAATAAAGTAAAAACTGTGTGGTTGAGGTTTGTGCAGAGGAGAGAGAATTAACTGGAACCACAAATTCTTTACTTAAATGGGAAAGTGGCAAAGTTAATGGGACATCCAAAAAAGGAAAGTTGGCAAAGTTATAAGGGACGGAGGGAGTACGTAGTACTCCCTCTGTATTTAAATGTTTGTTACATTTTTTATTTGGGATGTATTTAAAAGTTTATTATATTTCCTTTCTGTTTTTCTTTAAAAGTGTTCAATTACTCTTACTTTTCTACGGAGTACTTTTTATCTTATATTTCTTACTTTTTCACTTTCTCTCCTACTTTTTCTACACTATTCATCACCCCTACTATTTCTCCCTTAAATATTGTGCTGAAACCTAATGTAGTGATATTTTAAATAGGGGAAAATAATTAAAATACTCCAAACTTTGAAGGAGTGTGAGATAAGCACCCCAAACTTTCATATGTAATTTAAATACCCCAAATTTTATATGAAAAGTTATTTTAACACCATGATCATGTATTATTTCTTTCAAAATATAAATGTATAGTGTTAAAGGCATAATTTAAAATATCAAATTGAAAACATTAGAATTATATATAGTGGGGGTAATACTATTTATTTTACAATAAAAGTTTAGAATGTTAATTGTAGAATGCTAAAAATTATCAAATTATGAAATAAACACCAAAAATTAATATTTTTGAAAGAAATAATACATGACCAAAGTGCTAAATTAACTTTTTATATAAAGTTTGGGGTATTTAAATTACATATGTAAGTTTGGAGTGCTTATCTCACACTCCATCAAAGTTTGGGGTATTTTAATTATTTTTCCCTTTTAAATACTGAGGAAATAATATTCTAGAAGTAAAAGATTAACATCTAAAAGGAAAAGATTTTTCTAATATCAATTCGACATTTTAATTTGTTTCTGACCTCTTATGGCAGTTTATTTTTCAAAAGTCAATGAAAATTGTTTTAAAAAACCACAAAAAAACTAGGTATTTCTAAAATCTTTATTTTATTTGGGGCTTTCCAATTATTTGTATATTCTACTTTTTTTTTATGAATTCTACATTGTAGTTTTGTACTTCGTATTATGTATGTTTTCATTATTTTACGGTAATTGTTTGTTTTTTAAAGGAACAACCGCTTGTATTAATATCATTAGAATTTTAATTTGGATCGTTATATCAAATTCAAAGAGACCAACATTGACAATAATTATTCTTAACTAACTATCACTATCAACCCTACGACTAGACATAGAAACGATCATCCATGAAAGAGCAATATGAATCGCTAACCACCAATTACGGGTGTGACACAACAATCACTGATCATATAGATCCTTCTCACAAAATAATAGCTAGCAAAATTGTCAATCATTATTGTAGACCTAAAACTAAAGAGATCAACAAGACAACAAAAAGCAGAGCAACGTAAAAAAAAACATAACGTGAAAATATATAAGACCATAAGAAATAAAATAACTAATAAATGCTCCAAACTCCTCTCTGCCAATTTTCTGGAAATATCATCTTCCAAACACTAGCACCTCGATCGCTCCAAGGAGGCGGTTCAGGGAGGCAGACTGTCGATCTGTCTTCTCCCTTGTTTAGCCCTTCACCGCTTCTTGTCTTCTCGTCGCCCGCGCTGCCTCCTAATATAGTTTCCATGTACCTGCCATTCCGCCAATCGATTTTTTTATGTAACGGTTCCTAGTAGCGAAAAGTTCACACCTGATGTACTGGAATCCATGGCCTCCACCAAAAGCAGCTCATCCTCTTCTTCCATCACCATCCTGCCATAGGCTTGAGCCAACACCTCAATCTCCCTTTACTCGTGGTTAGCATCCACCATTGCCGACTTGCAAAAACATTCGCTTGGCGGTGCTAGCAAACTACCTTCTGCGTCTCACATCAAACTTTTTGACCGTAAATACCCTTTGAGTGCAACCCCTGCACTCGTGATACAGGCTACTAGCAGGGCCGGTCCTGGTATAGGGGCAGCCTGGGCTGCTGCCCAGGGCCCACCAGGAAAAAGGGGCCCATAGATTTTATAGTAGTTATTATATATATAAATTAATAATACTAAATATCTAAATTAATTAATAGTACTCCGTATAGTCGTATACGGTAAGATATCAATCTCTATTTCGTAGTTCTAGATTGAGCCAAGGCCCACATGCGAGAGGAAGACTTTCGAACTCCCTCACAAAAATCGAAAACTAAACATTAATACCAATCCTAACCAATTTTGGATTTAGTTCCCAAACGTTGGATACTCAATCTTTCCGCCTCCCTGATACAAATCATATGAATCTCTTCGGTCTCTTATAATCAACTACACGCTTTGCTTAATTGATTCAACCGTCAGCCTTCGTTATTCTTTGCTCTCAAATCTTAAATACTCAATTCTCAAATTCTTAATTTTTGCCTTTTCCTC